ACATATATGGATATGATCTTTTCTATAATTTTAATTGCAGAATGATACTTCTTGCGTCTGATGGCATTGCTGCTTAAGTAGACTTCACGTGGGGGTCAAATCTCGATATTCGTAAGTTTCTCTCAATGTACTGATCCGCAGAATCCAATAAATATTCCTGAAGAGAAGTGAAAGTAGGTAATTGAGCCTGAACTTGCTGGCCTCAGTTGGCTCAAGCCTACTTTTGCAGGTTGCGCTATTCACCTTTGTGCTTTTTTGTCAGTCTTATTATAATATTTGGCGCTTCACACCTTGCATTACGTGCTCACATTAAATTGCATAAATTAGCCTCGATGACCACTCACAATATAAATGGGATATTAGGGTAGTAAAAGCACATATCTTAAGCGATATTTGGAGGTTATTTTCCACTCACAAATATTAACTAATAAGCCTTGGAGAATTGTAGGAGTGTTAGTATTTGAATGTGGTTTCAGTGGACTTTTCACATACCCTAGTAGCGTCATCAGAAATTCGTTTTTTTTTCACCTTTTGTGCTTGATACATGATATACGAAGGGAGAAGTGCGGATGTCGGTCCATTTGGAGTCTAGGCCACCTTTGCTACTGCTGTTGCAGCAGAATTTGCAATGGCGAAGGATATCATTGTGGATGATCTTAGTGAGTTTCCCTCACCTTACAGTGATTTCCACCACCGCACGGCTTTTTTATCCATCAGAGTATTTTTTCCTGCCATTTAAACATCCACACCACAGTGATATTTTTATTTGCGCTAAATTTCCACATTCTCAAATAGTTTGGTTTAGTTAAGCCACGGATTTGCTTAATCACGCAATTCGTTTAGATTGTAAACGTCCACCTTGGTCAGCAGTGGTGCAGGCCCAGCCCTCATATCTGATCCTCCTTGCCTTAGGCTTGCCTGCTTTGAGGAAAGGCGATTTGGAAATCCTTGATCTCGATCAAGAATTTTTTACTCTCTAAACGCGTTAATAAACCGAAGCTTGTTTGTCGACAAACTTTTTTATATCCTTATTTGTTAAAAGGATTCGAAATTTGCGTGATTTGGCTTTGTCTGTTCAATTATTTACTAACACAGACACTGCTAGGTTTTCAGCAACGACTGTCCAGGTGTTTTATTGTTTCCATTAGGTTTTTTAACCAACTCAATCATTGATGGAGGGAAATAAATGTACAGGTCTCCTCAGTCAATGGTGAACCTACATTACTTTTCTCGGATTTTGAATTAGCTTTTCTTTAGGTGCGACAACTTGGCGCGTTCACTCGCTATATGGTGGTTTAGTAGCCGTACCAAATGTGACACTGGGTTCTGGGAAACAGAGAGGCGGTAAAAGGTACTACCTTTTAATGATATATAATCGGCGTTCTGTTTTATTAGTTCACGAAATTCATGAAGCCTATTAAATTTATTCTCAATTTCCAGTTCATCCCCCCCAGAAAGGTGGTTTTTATTCAAACCAGTTAGCCATTTTTAATACTGTTCTGTGCGGCGCCGATGATTGGATTATTTCTCGAACAGCATAAGGTATGTGAATGCTACAGCAACACTAAGTTGATGAACAGGTTTCTTCCGCAGTCTCAATTAAGAGCAAAATCTGATCGTTTTCA